GAGAGAGTGAGGAAAACAGAGAGAGAGAGAGAAACAGACTTAAAGAAAGAAAAACAGATTGAGACAGAGATAGAGACAGAACGAGAGAGACAGAGAGATATAGAGACATAATGTTGTGTAAAGCGCGTAGAACTTGCTTTGGAGTGGGGACATGCGCTATACAAATGCTATTTTATTAGTAGTATAAAGAGATAAAGGCAGGGAGAGTACACAATCGTGTTTCATGCTCACAGTTATCGATATCAAGCAGACGAAGAAACAAACAAGCAATCAAGCAACGTTTGAATCAACCCATAAGACGGAATGCATCAAATAATCAACTATCACATAATAATAAGAATACAACATTACTTAAACATAGAGCACCAGAAAATATGGAGTCTTCTAAATACACCTGACAGTAAATAAGGAGTCTTCTAAATACACCTGACAGTAAATAAGGAGTCTTCTAAATACACCTGACAGTAAATAAGGAGTCTTCTAAATACACCAGACAGTAAATAAGGAGTCTTCTAAATACACCAGACAGTAAATAAGGAGTTTTCTAAATACACCAGACAGTAAATAAGGAGTCTTCTAAATACTCCAGAGAACAAATATGGCGGGCTGTAAATACGCCAGATAATACGTCGTTTCCTGAACTGACTCACCCCTTCAAGTACTCAATATCTGAGGGTCCCCCTGAAGGTGTGACCTTGAGGGAGCAGACTCTGCTCGTGAACACATCTCTGGGAGGCGGACTGTGGTGATCAGTGTCGGTGTGGGGAGGTCTGGTCAGGTGTGGGGGCGGGGCGAGAGGGGTGTGGGACATCTGGAGGGGTGGGAGCTTCACCCGGCATTTGTGTACCCGGATCATGGGTCTGTGTCGTCTTCTTCCTTCTTTTGGAACGTATCTACAATTTTAGATTGTAAAAAACCTACCAAACAAACAAACCCAAGAAACACTTTTTTGTAGGATATATGTTAGTATATGTTTGTACTTGTGTGCTTGCTGTGTCTTCAACAGGTTTTATATTTTGATAAACAGCCTGTTTCGTGTCAGTCTTTATCTTCTGTGATTTTTTTATTTTTTTTTTGTGTCTACGTTTTAGGTGTTGCTCAAGTCGTCGAGAGTCATACTCGTCGATTTTCTGTCAGTGTGTCTCTCTTTTTCCTTGCTGTTTGTTGACCGTTGAGTTTATTATAGCCTAGCGTGAGTTGGGTATTCGAGGCTGGCGGTGGTGGGGGGTGCTTACATCTCGTTGTGAGTAGAAGTGTTGGAGGGGGGTACTTGTGGTTTCTTGGGAGCCGAAAAAAAAACAGAAAAAGAAAAGAATGGGGACAACAAAGAGATGATGGAAAGGGCAGTGGACGTGGATGGGGGTTGGAATGGACAAAGCGTCATGTAAATGATTATAATAGAACAATAAATGTTCATTCTCATACTGTTTACATAGTGGGGGCGACACAAACAGACTTCAGTAACCTAAAAAAAAACAACCCCGTTTCCATTACCCGGTATAATAGGGTCACTGACCTCTGTTTGGCAAGGAATAATATACGTCTAAGTATCGGCCAAGACAAAAGAGTTGTTTCTGAGAGGTCATATTGTGAAAAGAGCTGGCATTCTCATCGCTTTGGTGGACTTTGAGGTCAAAGGGCGCGATGACGTTCCCGTAAATACCCGTGACCCCTGACAATGACGGTCACGTAAATACACGTGACCCTATTGATGACAGAGTCGCTCTCTACAGAGACGCTGAATGTGTTGATGAAAAAAAGGTTTATTATATCATTTTTTTGTAGCTTCAGAAAGATCTTTTCTTTTACTGTTGTGTTGTTGTTACTATGCTGATCCAGTTTTCACCATACTCACGAAAGCTACATTTCATAATATGGATATGATATAATGATTAATGATTAAAGGTTTTTGGGAAGGACTTCCGTAACGAGCGACCACTCCAACGCAATAAAGAAGGGAATTTTTAGTGGGCTAGGCAAAAGATAGGGTTTAGATCTAGATATAGATCTAGATATCTAAATGTAGATGTAGATATCTAGAAATCTAGAGTATTTGGTTTGGCAATAAAGAAAGTAAAGAAAGTAAAATCGCTTTGTGTACTCTTCTCTACCTTTCTCTTTGTCTATTGTGTATTAGTGTCTAGTTTCTTGTTATTGTCTGAAAACTGACACCCACAAGCTGGCATGGAATCTATTTAGAAAAACTGCATCCGAGTTGAAAATTGAACGTGATTCGAAGAGCTTAATTATTTCAGTTTCATTCACTCAATGCTATAAGAACCTGGTCGTTCCCAAAGATGTCAATAACGTTCACGTATATAATTTAGGCTCTGGACTGAAAGTCAGAAATATATATCATTTTGAAATGTATTTTCCATTGTCCAAGGCGTTGTGTCAGGTACTTACTAGCCGTCTGTCAGCGCCGTCTGTCAGCGCCGTCTGTCTGTCTGGTAGGTCTATTGATGACACGGACACTCTGGAAGTGAAGATCTAGCCAGATCTTTGGTTGTCTATTTTTGGTTTCCGGATTCAAACTCTCAAAGCAAGTCGTGGTGCTATCTTTGTTGGTGCTTTCGTGCACAGAAAAACGGGATTTCCCGCGTTGCAATTTTTTTTACTCTCATTCTTTTCAGAAGAGGCGTCTAGATCTATACTGCAATATTGTATCGGAATGCTCGTTCTACCAAAAGAGAAAAAAACCCCAACACAAACAACAAAAACTATGATAGAGCCTCTCGTGAATCTTCTCCTTTACCAACCCTATTACTGCCCGTACATTCCCCTTCCTAAGCAACAGTTTCATGAAGGGTTGCCAGCACAACTTACAAAGTCTTGCCAACTCCACCATTTCTACCAACGCTGCAAAAAGAGAGAAAAAAATCATCAAGATTATCAGTGCCTACACACCAGCACACACACACACACACACACACACACACACACACACACACACACACACACACATACATACACACACACACACACTACTCTCTCTCTCTCTCTCACACACACACACACACACACACATTTCTCCTCATTACGACCCGTAATCATTATGACACTAGTCACCACCCTGACCACAACTTCCATCATCATCAATGCCATCGTTATAACAAAAGAAGTTTCACACTGAACTCAGAGTCACGTCACAAAACACGTATCACTGCTCATCTTGCATAATTGGTCGCTTTTAAGGACAAGCGGGCTAACTCAGATTTTGGGGGTTTCCAGAAATCTTGACCTACTCCAAATGTGAGCATTGCCCTACCTATAGGGGGAGTTTGGTTTCATTGCTGTGTATATTTGTTTAGTTATAGAGAAAGCTCTCCTTGTCTTTTAAAGAAACTGAATATGGATCCAGACACATCACCTTCGGTTTTCTCAAAACAGCATTTTTCAGGAAACACCCCTTGTGCTTAAAAGCGACCAATAGCAGACTTTGATTCACCTTCATTCGCTTCTTTTGTTCTGCTTAATGTTTGATGTACATGCACTTTTTAAAAACCACAAATAACTTACCTGTGACTAAACTAATATAGTGTAAAGCGCGTAGAGCTTGCTGTCGAGCAGGGTTATGCGCTATACAAATGCTATTTATTATTATTATTATTAAACTGAGTTTCTTTTTTCTTTTTCTCCGTGTCCAGTGATGATCAACGGAACTGCCAAGCTGCAAAAGTTGATGGGTGTCATGATTCGTGTGACTGCTTATGACTCCAAGGGGGACACTTTTGTGCCTGGCGTCTTCAACGTGAGTAACATATTTTCATTATTTGTATCAAAATGTATGTACTTAATCAATCTGTGGTTACTTGTTTGGAGAACAATATTATGTATCATGGCAGTCAGTGTAGCAGCCAGTCCTCCCTTCTCTCCTAGATCCACGAAAAGGTTGGCCTGCTGATCGTGCTAGTTGTCAGCCGGTGGGATATTCTTCTGGCTTTTCCATTCAAGTTGCTGTCTCTCTCGGGCCCTCTTAACACCAGCTTCCCTCAGTCTTTCCATTCCATGTGAGATTACATCTGTAGCGAAATAGCAGGAATAAGGATTAAAATGAAGTATGGCTCTTGCTATGGCCAATGAGAATGATTCTAACAGAATAATTTGACACATCTAGAGCATTGAAAAGCTTTAGTATTATTCTCCTATTTGTATTGTTCCTGGGTGTGCGATCAGATACACTAAATTATACACTCTTTAACTAGGATCAGTCATTTACTAGACTTCTAAATGGTATTTGCGTCTGTCTGCAATATGACTGAATCTGTAAAACAGCCTTTGAGATGATAGACTTGCGGATTGATAGATATAGATGTGTTAGACGCTCATCGGCACACTGTATGTCGTTTTTGAGGTGTACGTCTTGCCTTTCCGACTAGATCGAGGCTGGATTGGATGGCGTATAATACAAGAAAAGACGGACAAACTTGTGACAATAGTAAAAGCCATAACAATTTCAATACAGACGCCGGTCAACTTAACCTACACGCCTCAGACGGAGGTAGAAATGTGGGAGACATAAGGTGAATTAATCATGTACAGAGAATAGGACACTGTATTAGTATGTTTCTTATGTACTTCTCCGAAAGCAGCATTAGTAATCCCAGGTCATTTCTAGTGGCTTTGACCCCGTGAACTAGAAAGTAAGTCCCACCCCCACACATAAAAGCGACGCTTGAAAAACCACGAAAAAACCGAAACGAAAAGTCAAAACAAAACGAAAAACAGACGGTCTGCAGTTGGTAGCTGTAGACTGCACCAAAAAGCCGTGCTGTGATAATAAATTACAGGTCGGCCATATTGTGCACCGGTCTTACCCTCATGACCTTATTTCGCCCCTTATAATTCTTCCAGTTTAGTTTTTTATACTCTCAGCGCAGGCGACGAAACAAATAATCTCGTGCCACTCCGACTTTTTACAGAGTGTTTATGTTGTTAAGTTGTTTGTGCTGGTAGTCATGGTGTTTCTCCCTGATCCCCTGCAGTAAGTAAGTTACGTTTTATAGTGAGGTCACACTGGAGTTTCCATTTTTTGAGGGGTTGATGGGGGCTTGAGGTGAGGCGGAACGAATTAATTATTTGTACTCTTTAATTCATATACTCGTAAATACATTAATTGCCCGTGGCACGGTCTTGTACCTTTAATTAACCCAGAAATACTTCATCGAGGGCTTGAATGAGAACCGCCTGTATGACACGTACTGAAAGCAATTTCTTCAAGGCGTAATAATCACTTTAGGTGTTGTTGTAATGGAGGACTGGCAGACAGTTTTACAAGGGGTGTACTGTTATGTCTATGTATTCGCAGCAGGAGAAATATAATTATGGTTAATAACTTTGGTGTGTATTGTTTCTTTTCCTAGTAACGTGCATTATTGTTGAATGGGTCCCAAAAACACTGTGTTTGTCGTTAAAAACAATGAGGAAACTATACATGCTGTTTTTGGGACACCTGAATAGACGTAAAGGTCTTGAACATCTAGCTCTCACTGGCAAAATTGAAGGCAAACGAGGCAGGGGTAGACCCAGAGCAACAAATTAGGGAACCTAAACAAATAGGTAACGGGAAAAGATCAAGAAAACGGAACTTTTTAAAGAGCATCCGAGCAAAGGAATAAATGGAGAACAATGATCGCCGATGTCTGTCGCAGATCTGGCACTTGATGATGATGATGATGATGAGTAGCGCGCAATCGGTGTTGCAATCGGTGTTGCTTGAGTACACAGTTTGCAACGTTGTTTCTGTTAGAACGGCTGAGAGAGATAAAGAAAAACCCGACGTTTTTAGCGTAAAACTATTCGTGTTTAGATAAGTATCTCCGTATTTCTACCTGGTAATGTATCCCTCTCCGACCAGGTTGGCCCTAATAGTCAGTATCAAATCCCACCCCCTGAATGGTCTTAACTCTTCAAGCCTCATTCGTGTATATTTTCAGCAGCGCTTGTATCTCCCACCATCCTGAGAGCGTATATTATTCTCAGTTTGGGTGCGTACTGAATGTGCGCATTTTTGGAAATTAGTGAACCCAATTAAACTTTAATATTCATGATAATAATCTGTTCATTTGTTATATTTTTACTATCTCAACCTCATTACAAAGATACTACATCACTTTTTATTTAGAATGCATGCCTTTTTTTCTGAAGTACTGCCGTATTGACTGGGACTGCGGTTAGCGAGTGCAAAAAGATGGCCCGGTCTGGAAGGGTTAATTGGGTCGATGGAGGCATGAACACACATACATTTGTATATAAATAATATGTAACAGCGAAATAGCTTGTCAGTTATTCGATTAGAGGTGCTGAAAGTTCACAGTTTTAAAGTTAGGCATACTCCAGAAAGTTACCGTCCCTGGTGGATATAATTAGTCGTTTTTTAAGGACAAGCGGGCTAACCCAGATTTTGGAGGTTTCCAGAGATCTTGCCCTACACCAAAAGTGGACATTGCCCTACCTGTAGGAGAAGTTTAGTTTCATTGGTGTGTATATTTGTTTGGTTATCGAGAAAACTCTCCTTGTCTTTTAAAGAAAATGAACAAGAGTCCAAAAATTTGCCTTCAATTTTTTCAAAACAGCATTTTTCGAGATAGCCCCCATGTGCTTAGTAGAGACCAATTAGAACCTTCTACCTGTGAAGGAGAGCTCTGACATTATACAGAAGTTCAACGACCTCTCTGCCGGCTGTTCCAGTTGAAACGTCCAGGTGAAGACATCCATGCCCGTGATCTTGTCTCGCCTCACCTGGATCAAAGTGACCATGTCGACTACATAGAAGCAGTTCCTTTTTTCTCTGTTTTGTATCTCTCACTCTTTCTTTCTCTCTCTGTTTTGTACCACTCTCTCTCTCTCTCTCTCTCTCTCTCTCTCTCTCTCTCTCTCTCTCTCTCTCTCTCTCTCTCTCTCTCTCTGTATATGTTTTCCAGAATTATTTGATTCTCCATCCTCTCACGGTTTCCATTCTTTTTTAAAAGTTAAACTTTCATTTTGACCCCAACCCATGGGTTTAAAAAAAATTCTGGTTCAATTTTTTTTAACTTGCCGCATGGCACAGGGCATCAAAACAACTTGTACAAGGGTGACTGGAATGGGCTCTTACGTCACAGTCCTTTCGTGCATTCAACTGAGAGAGGAAGGGGGGTGGGGGT